TCTTCGGGACTTTCCATACATGGAGGTATGGTTGCTTTCTCTTTCTCTTTTTTTGTTTTCTTTTTCTCCTGTCTGTTCTACTGTTCACTGTGAGCAGCAGTGATTGACGCTTGCTACTCGTAGATGGCCAAACGCCGCGCTAGGCACGAAGCTCCAAATCGATCCTTTGGAGTGACGCGGCGAATCAATCAATATTTTTTTCTTTCCAGTGGCATGAGCTTTCTCGATTGACTGGACGTGTAGATGAGCAGTGCCCGACCACTGTGAGCAATGCATTGTCTATGATACTGCACGAGCAGTGGCAGGCAGCGTGGTCTGCTCAGCTGTTTAGCTCCACGACGTTTACTACGAAAGAGATTCGCGGCTGCGAGTGACGCAAAGCTGGTACTATTACTTTTCTCTCGTCTTTGTTAGCGGCAACCACGTTTTTGGTGCTGGTTTCCTTCTGACGCACTTGGTTTTTTCAAATGTTTTCCCAGATGCTCGTCTCTCTCCTCGATAGCTACGACGAGTCATTTGTTTTGTTTCCCGAAGGCGGTGCCTGCGACTAAAACAAATCGATCAGCGTCACGAACAGACCTCCAGGACCGAGGCGAGCGAAGCAACAAGTTGGCGGCCATCGCAATCAGATCCTGGAGCACGGATGATTTGGCCCCTGACGCGGACGATTGACGAGCTGAGGTGGTGCAGTATATATTGTATTTGTGGAAAGATAAAGAGGTACGTGGTTTTGCTTTCCTCTCTGCTTCTTTCGCCATAGCCTGGGAAAGCAGACAAAGTGGTGTCTCTCGCTTGGCAGGGAAGAGGGTCCTTTGTTTGCTGCTGACGCTTCCACATGAATCAAATATCGTCAGCACAGTGCGAACTCCACATGGCAAAGGTGCAGCCGCAGCAATCCTTGCAGCTTTATTCCAATGACTCCCATCGAGACTTCAGAAGAAAAAAAACCAGTCAATTTCCTCGAGAGCAGGCTAAGCTCCAAGGTACCTTTTGTTTTCTCGCATGGTTTATAGATCGATCGCTCTCTTCCCCCATGGTTTATAGATCGATCGCTCTCTTTACAAGTGGTGGCTTTGATTCCACATCCAGATCGAGGGCGATTGCCATCGGAAAACAATGCCCTGGCGGAGATTTTTTCCATGGATAATCGATCAAATGATATAGAATTTAGAGGCACCGATGGAGCGATCGGGCGATATCTACAGCGAGCGATCGATGGAGCTGGAGAGCGTCTCATCGTCGCCAGTGAAAATAATGGCACCTAACACGGGCTCATGGGTTCCTTTCGTGGCGGCCATTCGTAGCATGTGAACGCTACGAGGGCAAACTCAAATGCGTGACGTTATTCCTGCGAATATGCGCTTTGACCCTTGGGTTGGAGGGAATCGAACCGGCAGTTGTGCTGTTAACCGGGGTTAGGGTCCCTTTCCAACGCTGCTACGGTGCTACAGTGCGCGGTTGCCCCTTTTTATAACGCGGGCACCAAAAGCATTCCAAGAAGAAGAGAGAGCGTTCTTGACGGAGGCGGCGTAGGCGACGGCAGCAGCGTCTTGGCGCAAGGTTTGATTCTTTGGTTTCTCTCATCGGCGCCGGCGCGCGATCTTAGATCGCCGCCTCGCAATCGGCGAATTCGCCTCTTTTCTCTCTGTTGCATGCGCCGATTCATCGATTGATCGCTGGTTTCGTGGCTCCTGTGCTGCGCAGGCTTGGATTCGTGCGATATTTCGTCCTGGGGAAAGGCGAGGATCCGGTTTTCTTCACATTCGAGTAGGAAATTTTTTGGCGTGGTTTGGATTGGAATGGGACTCATCCCTTGTTCTTGTGGTGTGCTTCTTCTTCTTCCAGGCGGATTGAATGTTTTAATGGCGTCGACGCGTGATTCTAGTAAATCGAAACGCGACTCTGTCCAATACGAGTCTCCTCTCGGCTACAAGATTGAGGACATCAGGCCTGACGGTGATATTGAAAAGTTCCGCTGCGCTGCCTACTCAAACGTAAGCTCCTTTGTTTTCTCTGCGAGAAATGCGTCGCGAGCTAATTCGTCCCTTCTTCTTTGCAGTTCGTCCGAAAACCATCCTGATACCCCCCAGAAAGAAGAGCCAGTAGAGTAGGCTAGGGCCTTCCCCTCGTCAAATCCTTTGCTTGGAGTCTCCTTTACCTCTTGGAGCTGGTCTGCGGCATGCTGCACGGTGGCAGATCAGCTCCCTGCTCTCGGGAGCAGCATTCTTCCCGCTAGCTAGCTAGCTCTTTAGCCGGTCTCTCCTCTCTTTTTTTTCCCCTCCGTCTCCTCTCACAAGCCAAGATGGGTGTCTCTTTCATTCCCGCTGATGAAGTCATGGAGCCTGTTGTTGCCAGTCCTGGGTTTGAGGGGTTTGAGAAGAGGCTTGAGGTGGAATTCTGGGATCCTCTTGGTTTTGCCGATCCGAGTGGTCTGAGAGCAATCCCCCGCAATGAGATTGACACTATGCTGTCAGCGGCCGAGTGCACTATTGTCTCTGCTTTGAGCAACAGTCACTTTGATTCCTACGTGCTGTCTGAGTCGAGCCTCTTCGTCTATCCTTCCAAAATCGTCATCAAAACCTGTGGAACCACGCAGCTCTTGAAGGCCATCCCCCTGCTTCTCAAGTCGGCCTCGTTTATCTCCCTGGAAGCCTGCCGCTGCAAGTATAGCCGAGGAACTTTCATCTTTCCCAGTGCCCAGCCTTCGCCTTATGGAAACTTTAACGAGGAGGTGGTGATCCTGGAGAAGTACTTTGGTCACCTTGGAAACGGAGGCAAGGCTTGCGTCATGAGTGACGCCTCTAAGATGCACAACTGGCACGTTTATGTTGCTGCGTCGGAAGTGGCCCCCTTGAGCTCTGAGACATATACAATGGAGATGTGCATGACGCAGCTTGATCGCTCTTCGGCAGCTCTCTTCTACAAGTCGCCGTTCTACCGGTCAGCTGCTGACATGACTCTCCTGTCCGGCATCCGGAACCTCCTGCCTCACTCGGAGATATGCGACTTTGCCTTTGATCCCTGCGGCTACTCAATGAACAGCGTCGAAGGCAACGCCCACTCGACCATACACATAACTCCGGAGGATGGTTTCAGCTACGCAAGTTTCGAGACCATGGGTTACAGCCCGTGCATGCTCGACTTGGGAAGCTTGGTGGACAGAGTGCTCGGCTGTTTCAAACCAGCAGTTTTCAGCATCTCACTCTCGACGGCTGGACTCTGCCACTCACGCGACGCTGGGTCCTGGGGGGTGCCGGTTTGTCCACGAGGCTACGTGTGCAGTGGGACTACTCGCCATGAAATGCCCGGGGGGAGCTTCGTGGTGTACCACACTTATACGAGGATCTTAGGTGGCGACTCGACAGTGATGCCGCTTGCCCTGTTCCCGGCACTGGAGAAGGTGGCGAGCAATGGTTACAAGAGCAAGAACAGCGAAGCATCTTTGAAGCCGTTTCTGTACGGTGTGCAGCCCTTACGTGAAAGTGGTGGGGCGGAGGTCATCGGTCCTACTGCCAGGGACATGGATTCATTCATCAGGAAGAAGATCCAGTCCACGGGCCGAGAGGATGCGTTCTATGTTCTTGACTTGGCAACTGTTACTAGGCTGTGGAAGATTTGGAAGTCGGCCATGCCGAGAGTTAACCCGTTCTACGCGGTCAAGTGCAACCCCGACCCGCAGCTCCTGTCCATGCTGGCGGCACTGGGAGCCGGTTTCGACGTCGCGAGCAAGGCAGAGCTGGAAGCTGTGACACAACTCGGGGTGGCGCCACGAAACATTATATTTGCGAATCCCTGCAAGCTTCCTTCGCATATCACTGAAGCTGCTAAGGCGGGGGTGGTGTACACGACGTTTGATTCCGAGGGAGAGCTCTACAAGCTTAAGAAGTACCATCCACAGGCGGAGGTTCTCCTGAGGTTCCGTTCCGACGACACCGGTGCTCGCTGCCCGCTGGGCGTCAAGTATGGTGCCGAGTGGGACGAGTGCTATCATCTGCTGGAGGTGGCCAAGACGCTGGGCATCAAAGTCGCAGGTGTGGCCTTCCACGTCGGGAGCGGTGCCTCGGACGTGAATGCCTTTGCGGAGGGCATCAAAGCCGCGAGGAAGCTGTTCGACATGGCCGAGAGCTTGGGTCTCCCGAGGATGACAATGCTGGACATCGGTGGCGGGTTCGTGTCGGATGGAGGAGCCGGCGTCAAGTTCGCGGCCGCGGCGTACGAGATTGGCAACGCGCTGGAGGAGCACTTCCCGCTGGAGACGATGGCGGACGTGAGGATCATCGGCGAGCCGGGCAGGTTCTTCGCGGAGGAGGCCTTCAGCCTGGCGGCGCTCGTGTTTGGCTGCCGGGTCCGGAGGCGCGAGGAAGGCAACAAGACGGTGGTTGAGTACTGGATCAACGATGGCATCTACGGCTCCATGAATTGCTTGCTGTACGACCACGCAACGCTCTCGGTACGGGCGCTTCCAGTGGCGAGCAGTGGCGGTGGCAGCAGCAGCGGCAGTGATTGCGAAAGCTCGTCCGAGGATGAGGAGGACGATGCGCCGCTGCTGGACGTGGAGCTCCATCCCTCCATCATCTTTGGGCCGACTTGCGATGGACTGGACACGGTGCTGAGCGATGTGTGGCTTCCGCGGCTCCAGTGTGGGGACTGGCTCGTGTTCCCTCGCATGGGGGCTTACACCAAGAGCGCTGGATCCAGCTTCAATGGCTTCGCGGTTCCAGACGCTACGTTCTACGTTCACTGTGGAGCAGCGCCAGAGATGTGATCGTTCGTCCAGTTTTTCTTGTGTGTTTCGTTTTTCCGGGGAGCGTTTGATCGGTTTTGAGGCGCTCCTCGCGTTTTCGTTTCTTTTCCTTGTTTGCTTCTTTCTTTGAAAAATAAAATTTGTAGTTTAGGATATCCGTTTGCTGCCACGTCAGAAGATTGACAGCCACGTCAGAAGTGAAGATGATGACCAGGAACGTCGTTGACCAGATGAGTCAGCCCTAATATTTGAAAGGTCAAACGACTCCAGCCGCGACTGAGACATACGACGGAGGATCTTGGGGCTTGAGCGCCAGTAGCTCTTTTGCTGCTTGTTCCGCAAGGTCTCGGTTGCTGTAACGTTTGCATGCCGCGAGCAGCGAAGCCCACTCCACGTCGTTTGGAAGGAATGGCATGGTTTGGATGAGATCCATGGCGTCGTCGAGCTTTCCGGCCCGTCCCAGCAGATCGACCAAGCAGCAAAAGTGCTCCCTCAGCGGCTCCACCTCGTGTTCCGATTGCATCGCCAGGAAATGGTGGCGGGCGTCGTCCACGCTTCCCTTGTGGGTGCACGCCACGAGAATGGCCGCGAAGGAGACCGCGTTGGGTCTCACCCCGGTCTGCATCATCTCCCGGAAGAGATGGCCGGCCACGTCGCTGAATTCGCTGCTGTGGGCGAGCGCTCCCACCATCGCGTTCCACGACACGAGATTCCTCTCGGGCATTTGCTCGAACGTGAGCTTGGCGTCGCTCGTGGCTCCGTTTCGAGCGTAGCCAGCGAGGAGGGTGTTCCAGGAGACTGTGCTCCACTCGGGCATCCGATCGAACGCGAGCTTGGAATCCAAGACCCGTCCCGCCAGAGCGTAGGCTCCCACCAGCGTCGTCCATGTCACGACACTCTTGGGCTCGGAAACTCTATCAAACAGTGCCTTTGCTTGCGAGAGTTTTCCACTCACGGCACACGCCTGAATCATCGCGTTCCACGAGCAGATGTTCTTGTCGGGAATGGAGTCGAAGGTGGCTTTGGCTCGATCGTAGTCTCCTGCATTTGCATACACCGCCAGCAGCGTCGTCCACGACACAACGCTCTTTTCCGGGATGGATTCGAACAAGATTCTCACTTCGTCGTGGGCTTCCGCGTCCGTGCATGCCTGCAGCATCGCATTCCACGACACCACGCTTCTGCAGGGCATTCTCTCAAACAGTGCTTTCGAGAGATCCAAATCTCCGGTTGCGGCACTCGCTGTGAGCATGGCGTTCCAGCACACAGAATCCCTTGAAGGCATTTCAACCAGACAATTCCAAGCATCGCCCATCTTGCCGTTTTGTGCATAGCCAGTCAACATAGCCGTCCATGAAACAACATTCTTCTCAGGCATACTGTCAAAAATAGCTTTTGCCGCCTGCAAATGCCCTTTTCCGGCAAATGCAGTAACAATGATCGTCGACGACACTGCACACCACCTTGGCATTCTATAGTACACTAAATTTGCATGAAAGATTTCATCATTCTGTGTGAAACCTCGTATTAGTGCGTTCCACGACACGTTGTCTCGCTTTTCCAGGCCCCTAAAGAGCTGCTCTGCCTTGTAACTTTGCCCACCTTGGGCATATGCTGTTATCATCGCGTTTGAGGCCACCACGCTGCGATCCGGCATTGTGTCGTAAACCTCCTTGGCCTTGTCCATGTCGCCGTTGCTTGTGTAGGCACCGAGCATGATACTCCACGAGAAATCGTTCTTCGGATTGATGGCATCGAACACCTGCCTTGCCTCGCTTGGGCTCCCACACTTGCCATACATTTGCACCAGGAGATTTGCGAGAAAGCGATTGAGGCATTGGCGGCTCTGGATTCGATCGTGAACACGCCGCAACTCGTCCAGGTTCTTGATGTTCTTGAGAATCCCTGCAAAGAATGCCTGCCCTGAGGTTCCCATCCATAGTCCAAACTAATACAATGCTCAGCAATAACCCAATAATTTTTATTGTTTTTTGCGAACCACTTTGCAAGAAATGGGCATGCATGATACTGGCTGTCTTGATTTATATCAAACCACAAAATATTTTGAAGATACAATCGTCGTGAAGGGTGGCCTTGTGTTCTTTTGCTTCTCTTGTGGACTAGTTTCCAGGTTCTTTGAGTAGGGAGCTCTTGTCTTTGGATGGTTCCAGCGGCAGTATTAGCGATTCACCAGTGCTGAATTCCACTCTTGCCTATGAATCTCCCAGAGAGAAGATGGATTTGTATGGGGACGAGGAAGATGCTCACAAGAGGGATCATGGTAATGGTGTGCAGAGGTGGTAAAGTGGAACACTTGGTTAAGCTAGATCCAGCAGTGGTGGTAGGAGTAGGTGGAGAGCAAATGCAGATGCTCATGTTCATCTGGGATATACTTATGCAGATAGGGCTGGTGGAGATCTTTGTTAGTGTTGTCATCAACCACCAGGATTGTTATTTCTTGTTGTTTGGCCTAGAGGCTCACATGCTCTTGAACAGGTATGTAAGGCCACATAGTTCCTATTTTACACCACTAATGGAGAAAAGCTGAAAGTTCCCACTACAATACATTCAAACTACAATATTTGGGGTTGTTTTGATGGAAAGAATGAACAAGAAAATTCTTTTGTGGGCATTCCTCTCATGGATTCCTACTGCTAATCCTAGTTGCGTGCTCCTGGCATCCTGTTACCTTGATTCCAACCGCTCCAACACTCCCCCTCGATCTGATAGTCTTTCTCAGATCGCAATTCACCAGCTCCCCCTAGAAACAAAAGGACAAGTTGATGTTGCAAAAGTTGAATTGCAATCATTGTCTTTATCAAAAGATCTACTACCATGTTGGCTGTAGAAATGTATTTAAGTTTGATCTCTCCTTGTTCCACTGTTCTTGAATGAAGTAATGGAACATCTCAAAATGCTTGTTCCTCTTGTGGTGTATTGGATTTATGATGGATTGAAGACATGCTATGTTGTCGTTGTATACATTCATCAGTGCTTGCATTTTGAATCCTATATCTCACAGCAAACAGTAAATCCACAACGCTTCCTTTACTGCTTCTGTCACCACATTGTACTCGGCTTCACATGCTACCATTCGTTGTTTGCAATTGTGCCATGACACAACAATATTGGAGAATTTAAATACATACCCAGTTGTTGATCTGTGATCATCAAGATCCCGAGCTAAATTAGCATCTACCATTCCATATGGAACTAACATCTATGCTCCAATTTCTCCTCTATCATACCTTTAAACTTGAGATGGAGTGATAAGGTCTATGTGACGTTGAAAATATGTTCCACCGCATATTAACGTCTCCTCCCCAAGTTTTGCATGAATTGGCATACATAAGAGACCACTACTGCCATATGTTATATCCAGATGATTTGCTGTTGCGAGGTACATCAATGCTCTAAGCACATTTTGATATGGTAATTGCTTCATCTCCTTCTCCCCTTCACAACATGGTTCATTAACTCTGGAAAGCTTCTAAAATTGTAGTGTGAGGTTGAAGTTATACATGTCATGAAAAATTTGCCATATTCTTTGACAAGGTTAGAAATATACTTGTGTTGGTGAATCCTCCACCCTGTCAAAATTTCAAGACCAAGAGAAAAGGGAATTTCATCATTTTAAGTAGTTTGATGAGTCACTCTTTTAGCCATTGTAAATTCCATGCCTTCCTGATGATGATGAGATCATCTATATAGACACAAACAAGTATGATTGATAATTTGAACACAATACTAAAGGTTCTAATTAGCTTTTGCACAGAAAATCCAAGAGTTGGGAAGAATTTGTTTAAAGTGTTGTACCATATTTTTGGTGAATTGTTTAAATCCATAAATCGATCGCTGAAGTTTACAAATAAAATGTTCTTTTCTATGTACTGTAAAACCAGGAGGCTAGTGTATATAAATTGGCTGTTCCAATTCTTTGTTCAGAAAATCATTTTTGACATCCTTTTATAAGATCCAAATGACTATAGCAATGATTAGACAAATTGAAACCATTTTAACTACAAGGGAGAAAATGTCGTTATAATCAATCCCAACTCACTATTTGTAACCTTTTGCCACTTTGTAGCAATTGATCTCACCTAACTCTTAGCTTTTTTTTTATACCCCATTATGGATGCCTCTTTTAGAACTCCTTGTGATGCCACCAAGGTCTAGGAATTATTTTCTAGTTGAGCATTGTATTATATTTCTATCACTAGTTTCTAGTGAAAACACTATACTCCCGAAAGTGCTTCTTTAGGTTCTTAAGTAACTTATGCAACTTAGGCATAATACTTTAAAATGTTGTTTGTTGGTTTCCATGAATGAGAAAATCTCATAGGAAGAGCTGCAGCTGTAGTATCCTATGCTATTATTGTCTTTGTAATACTAACATCCCCCCTATTAAAATTATTGAGAAGATCACCTTGTATAGAGTTCTCATAATAATGTTCCTTTCGAATGAGATCCTTTGGAAATGTCATTTGATCCTCTAGTGGTGGTAGCGGAACTTTTAAAGGTGATTTAACAGGTAGTGGATACAGGTAATTGTTTGGATACACTTGTTGTAGTCACCTCTTGATTACATTTTTAGAACCAGATTTAAATAATATTTGTCACTTTTCCCTAGCTAACTAATGAAATAGAATATGCTGAACTATTTCTAGAAAGAAAATAGTTTGTTAAAAAGACACTCTTTTCTAGCTGAAGATCCATATATGATATAACCAAGCATTATACAATTTATTGCGTCTTTCTACATTTAATATATATGAAAATCCTATATAGCTATGTAAGTATATAAGAGAAGGTTTACTATCTATCCAAATTTCATATAGTGTTTTCTCTGATGTTTTCTCTGGTTCATTCTATATGTGTATTATGGTATTCACAGCTTTGACTTAAAAGAAAATTGGACATTCATAGCTTTGAGCATTTCTCTTACTACATCAATAATGGTAAGCATTCATCTCTCCATAATCCATTTTGGCCATGATTATATAGCATAGAGATTTGAAGTGATATACTTTGTGATGTAAGGATTGTTGGAACTTTACAAAAAAAAGATCATATCCTCCATCAACTTTGATTTATTGATATAACTTATAGATTTTGAAGAGCATCAGATTTTTGCCTCAAATAGTGAACAGTTGTGAAATGATTGAGATCATCCACGATTAGTAGAAAATATAGAGTATATGTTAAAGATTTTATCAGTGATAGTCCCCAAATATCAATATGAACTAGATGTAAAACAGTTTTACCTTGAGTGGAAGTTTTTTTTTGTAGTGGCTTTCTTCATTTTTGCTCATAAATAGCTTTCACACATTTTAAAGTTTGCATTCTATAAATCTAATACCCCTTTAAGCCAATTGAGGAGTTTTTTTTCACCCATCTAAAGCTTGTATGTCCTAATTGAAGATGCCACAACTATAATATTGAACCATTAGTAATAGAAATAGAATTTATACTTGGGAGTGTCAAAAAAAGAAATAAATAAAGTCCATTTTTAACCATAGCCTGAGCAATTTGTGTATGATGAAAAGTGAAATCTGTTGTTGTGCAATGAAAAAATATGTAGATTCCTTATTTTCTAAGCTTAGAAACTGATATAAGATGTTTGGCTAGTTTCAAGACATATAAAAATTTAGAAATTTCAAGTTGAAAAGAAGGAAAAATAACTGTCCTAAAAGCTATTATTTGCAAAGCTTCCTCAATCATTATATTTACAGATACAGTGAATGTCCTAAAACTTATCTTCTGAAACAACACTTTATTCATATGATGTGTCATACCACTATCTACCAGTTTATATTTTAACATTTGCCTAACTCATCATCTTCCTCAATTATTGTTACATTTTCTATGAACCCTTTGCTTTTGGGATCATTTTGGCTTAAACAATCAATAATAAAATATCCAAATCTATAACATTTATTACAATGAACATTCTAATACTTCAAACATGCCTAATGCACCAAATTCCATTCACTTCTTATACCTTGCCATTTGCTTGTTGTTCTACCAATCACTTGAGCAACCATTGCAACAGTATTTTCCTCTTATTTGAAATCACTAGTACCATCCTTTTTTTGAAAAATGTCATTTAAGCTTGTGTAATGATGGATATTAGCAATCACTTGATCGAATTCTAGTCTAAGACTATTCATCTAAAGCTCAATCTTCCTTCTAGTACTTCTCATTCAAGCCAAGAATCATAAGAGCCCTAATCATATATAAGAATGTTCATTACATATTCTGCAGCTTGTTGCCAGGCATCATCATTCACTCTATGTAGTTTTGTGCTTTTTCTTGTGGACCTTGTTTACAATTCACTATCTACCTAAAAATACTTATCTTAGTAGCCCATAACTATTTGTAATAGGAATTATTGTGGCACTTGCGAAGCTTTAGCCATGGTTTATGAATTCTTAACCTAAACACATTCTATCAATATGATATTAGCATGTTCAGCTTTGAGAACTTTGCCTCCATAATTAAGAACCATTTGTCATAAAAAAGGAGAGGCTCTCTTTCCTTATCTCTATCTAAAGTTATTACCCACTACTTAAAAATGATGAAGAAATGATTACTAGCTACCTAGCTTAACAGACGTCTCATGTCACAAATCTCTAGAAAAGAAAAAACCTAGAATGAACAAAATATTCTCTAATACTATAATAGAAAGAATGAACAAGAAATTCTATTATGTGGAACATGTAGTCCTTAAATTTTAGATGTTTTTTTTTTCTCTATTGAATATTTTACATTTCTATTTCTATTTCTTTATAATTTGAATTTATAGATATAAGAATAGGTATATTAATTGGGGTTTAGACCCCTCTAGGCGATTATAAACTACCACAAGAATTTGAAATTCCTATAAAACTATTAACAAAGTTGTTGACAATTATAATGAAATAAAACCCAAAGCCATGGGATAACCATTAGTTAACTACGGAATCTTGATGCACCAATTGCAACTCCATGTGTAACTACCAAATGCTTAAATTAACCATAAAGCCATAACTTTGAATCAAACCAAGGGATTTCAAGAATTACTATATGTAAGTAACCAAAGGGAACGACTTGAGAGACGATATGTTGGGGTTCAAATATAGAGGGAAAGGGCCCATGAATAAAAGTGCACCCCCTTTTCTAATCAGTTAAGGGTCTTAGGATACTTGGGGTTAAGCGTCCTTGGGTTTGAATAGTACTGGGCTGGGTGACACTATAGTCCATGAAATGCCATTGCAGCATCTTCCTTTTAAGTCTGCTTGCTAATAACCTTTTAAGTCTGCTTGCTAATAATCTTTTGAAACAACTGTTAATTTAAACTCATGACTATAATCTTTTGAAACAACTGTTAATTTAAACTCATGACTATAAGTAAAACTTACTTTTGCATCTTCCCTTCGGTTAACATCCAAGACTCATATTAATTTAGATTTATAACTATTGTCCTTATCCAACATTGCATATAGGAGCTCGAACTCACACCGTTTGTCCTCCACATCCTCTTTATCCCTTGAAGAAAAAAAAGTTTTGAAGCATAGGTTTCGTTTAAACTCGTTATATTTGTCTTCACTCTACTATTTATATTCGGCTTCACTTCACTATCGCATTCATTTAACTTTATTATGTCAGGGCCAAATGTTTCATTCAAACTTGTTATACTCATCCTCACTCCATAATTTATGTCATTCATCCTCACCCCACTATTATATTCACTCGTCCTCACTTTATCATCGGGGCCAAACTTCTGGCTGTCCCCTCTACCCTTTCAAAGAAAAAAATGTTTGAAGCGTTGGGGTAAAGAGGAGAAAGTAAAAAAAAATTAAGAAAGAAATAGTATGGAAGAAGAAAAAATGGATAAAGAAGTATTAAAAAAAGAATTTTTAGTAGCTATCAATGTTAAAATACTTTGGCCATCATAATATAAATAAAATATTCATACCGTTCAACCTCCTCAACACATAACTCAATATCTGAGATGGGAAAATCAATGAAAATGTTCACACTCTCAAGAAAATGTATAAACTTTTTAGTAATAATGGTAAAACAAAGACTTTCAACAATACTCATAAGTGGGGATATATATTTAATATAAAACTTTAACCAAAGTGACTCAACCTTTGGAATAAAAGAATACTTAACACCAAAATTGATTAAAGACTTTGCCAATGAAATAAAAATAAAATTTTCAACTTCCTACGCATGCTCAACATTGGGTCATAAATGACTAATATGCTATGAAAAGGAAACACTGTAGATGAGGAAGAAACACTAAGAACGTGAGAAGGTGGTTTAAGCCGAAAAGTTAAAAAAAGTTGGAAAAAAGCAAAAGGTAAATAAAAAAGATCAAATGGCAAATTGAAAGATTGACACTTACTCTACAAAATCTCTACTTCATTTCCAAAGATATCTTAAGTTTGTCAAAATAATTTGGAATCCACTCAAAGTCACACATATTGTCTTCCCATAAACTCAATTTTTAAACATTCTTTAAGAACTAAATTGCATTATTTACAACTTGCCAATTAATGTCATAATCAATACTCCACATTAACAGGAGATGGTAGAACACGGAGAATAAGACAAGCCATATAATCATGTTCTATAGAAGTTGGAAATGACAACACACTAAAGATGGGTGTAGCACCAATATAGTCACACCCCACAACACCCAAAGTTCGATCTAATGGAGTAGCATTAATAGCCTTAGATAACATACTCCTTAATTGATGATAGTATGGCATAGTAGAAAAAGAAAATGCAATGAAGATTAGAAGATAAAGTAAATTGAGGCATAGCAATATTTAGAATTCTAGATTTTGCAAAAAGCTAATACAAATTTAGATTTAAAAGAGAATGAAGAAATAAAAGTAAAAAGTATAATCTCAAGCACACACTACCAAAAAGTTTTGCCTTTAAGAGACAAATTAAGTATATTAATTGGGGTTTAAACCTCTACTTATATACAAAAATGGATAGACTAGATTTAATCCCAAATGGATTATCTATATGTTATAATACTATAATTAATGTGTTATTTAGTCAGAGTAATATATACACACATAAATATATGTATTTACAAACCTTACAAATTTAATTTTGTTTTCCATATATTTATTAATTTTTTCTTTAATAAAATACGAAATTATTTTCTTACATAACCACACATGTTCCATTACTTTAATTTTCCTCTTCCTCTTCTTGCCACAAGTCCCTTCAACTTCATCTTCCGCCTCAATCTCAAAGGAAATTGTGCAATCACTACCTATGCCCATACTCTGATTATAGAAGAAAGGAACTACCTTTGTCATCTTATCTTTAGAAACCCATGATTTGGCTCATCAAAGTATCCACCTTGAAATTTCTTTGATGTTCTTACTCATCCATCATGGCTGCAAAAGTTGCCACAACTCAGACTAGATTGCCATGTCTTTGTCATCTTCTAAATTGCATCTAGTGCACCACTCTCATCTTCTAGATCTTTGACAAAGTTAGCCTTGCCTCAAGCTAACGCCATTATGCAAAGAATTTTTTGACTCAACAAAATGTTGCTGATCATAACTTCTGCCTTATCATTATAAGGGCGTGAAAGAACCAATTTTATTTGCCTTACGCTTTAAACCTAAAATTTTAGAGAAAGGGATGGATGTTCAATCAAGGTGGAAAAACGCCGCAAGACTTGCTGCCAAGGTACAGTTATTTTGTGTGATCCAGCCTAAAGTTCTGTGGTTTTAGATTGGTAAAGGTTTGTCCAAATGTCCCGAAGCTATGATTCTTTCTGAGGACAACTGGCTTGAAGCTGTAAGATTCTGCTTTATTACTTAAGAAAGTTATGCTTCTCTTTTTCTACAAGCAGCATCGCAGAGGACACGATTTATATCGAAAGTTCACTACATGGCGATGGAGCAAAACAAAGGAGCCCTTTTTCCACTGGTACACTCTCTACACACACAGTTAATCCTGTCGTTCCGAACGACTTTTCTTTAACTAGGCTTGATGAAGGCGAAGGAAAGCATTGCACGATCTTCCTTACACATAAAGTTCATTATCTCAGTCCAGTAAGTGTGCTGTTATGTTCAATATTGAGCTCTCTTGTAAACGCACAGAAGGAAAGGGAGAGATATGAAGTGAACGTCCAAGATGGTCACATGATCTTTAAAATCGATGGAAGGAAAGTTGATACACAATGGACTGAGTGGATGTTTGTGATGGACACTGACGACAGGATATATATTAGAGAGGTATCATACATATCTTTTGATGGGCAATTTTCTTCAATTATCTAGAAAGAGCATGGAAAGTTTCACCATTCTAGTTTTGCTGATCGATCCAAATTCCAGTGTTTAGACAATTTAAGTGGACATTATCGTCCAGAATCGGTTAACTCCTTCCACAAGGAACTAAAGAAAAGGGGTTGCATGTTAAGCAAATGTCGTGTAAGAAATGACTGTTATTATTGAATAATTATGAGATTGATCTTTGCACGGATTCTTCAAGAACGTCAAAGACTTGGACGAGCTGCGGCATGTTGAGAGCTCCTCCGACTTGAAATTTTGCCCTTTGAGACATGGTACCGTATGGCCTTCTCCATGTTGCTGTTTTTCGTGCAGGCACCAAGCATGATATTCCAGGACAAATCGTTGATCGATGGCATGCCTTGCCTCGCTTGGGCTCCATACATTTGCACCAGGAGATTTGCGAGGTTTCCGTGACCGGGTTATGCACAAAAGGGCGATGCTTGGCTTCAAGTGATGCTCGCAGTGCCACCACTGACCATCCCGTAAAAGAGCATTGTGTCTTGTGTGTAGGAAATCCAAACTTTGCTGCCAAACCTAGCCCAATTAAATTCTGCCTGGAATGGAAAAGAGAAGAAATTCCTAAACACAGAACTCGACTGAAGACATAAATATGTGCCCCTCCTCATCCAGACTACATGGCACTCCAGCCCAAGAGTACAGTGACCAACCATTCTTGGTTTTCATCCGGCTTTTAAAGGTTGGGAGCTTCAAGATGGTTAAATCCCCCAAGAGGTCTGAAACATGTCCTAGACTCTCTATTACTCTCTCTTGAGGCCATTGAGTTTACCACAAGTCAACGCCCTTTTCCCTTGGCAAGAGCATCGTGATACGGGTCAGTGCTGTAGCTCCAAATGCTGTGTGTGGAAATTCGTCCTCTCTGAAAGAGGACACTCAAAAGTTACTCACGAAATCCCACCCTCTGGACACAAAGAGCTCTACCCACTAAGAACACACTGGTAAACGTAGGTGAGGCCCAGCCTAACCTCACAAACCAGAATTACAAACTTAATATATTCTGCGCCTACACAACATGAGCAAGGGCCACGGGAACAGCATATGCCCAAGCTGGGCAAAATCAGCTCTTGCAAGACAATGTACTACTAATATTTAGCCAGTCCGTCCCAGGCTTGAACCGCAGTGTGCAAAGCGAGGCCATCAAGAATGTTGACATCCCAGTCAGAAAGCTGGTTTAGTGTGACTCGGCAATGCTGAAATTATCTAAGACATGCTAGAGGCTACTGCACTCTCAACTCCAAGGCTTGACAGGAGACCAGCCCAACTTGTTACATCTTGATACTCTACAAAAGTCATATGAAGCAACCTCTTAAAAGGTACTAAATCCAAAAGTGATACCTCTTAACCTTTTAAAAGGTACTAAATCTTATGGTGCATGCTTTACGTTCTCTTGTGCCTTTGCTTCTTGCCACTCTTCTTCCATCGCATATCATGAGAGTAGATGGGCGATGGCGATGACGATGATTACAAGTAAGAATTTGTATTGCGTATAAAGGAATAAGAAATGCGCTGGTTTCTTCGCCTGTTTAGATGGATGTCTCAAGCTTCCCTCCTTGACAATCCCTTGACAGCGGTGCCACCGAAAGCTAAGAACGATGAAACTTACAACTGATTTGCAGAGGATTTTGATGGCGATAGAGATTGTTACAGAAATTCCGGCTTTGCTGCTGTTACTTTGAACTTGTGGTCGTTTCTCTTCCCATAGTCTCTGCTGATTATTCCAGCAAGCTTTCCAAATCTTTGGATCTGGTAGACGGGACGGCCAAAGTAAGGCTCAGAATAAATTCGGCATTCTCTACCTCTGGGATGTCTTTGTGCTTGAGAATGGAAGACATGAACTCGAGGATATGTTCGCAATGGCTGTGGAAGTAGATGTCGAGGTATGCTGGCATCTCGGTGGCTGTTCTCACGTACTTGATTCTGGAAGAATAGATGTCCGCAATTGTTTGCTTCACTACTCTTCGCGGAAGAGGCGACACTTTCTGCACGTCCAGCGTAAGGAAATTAAAGACAAGAAAATATGCCACACACAACCTTCGCCTGCTCAAGAAGATCTGCCCAGTACGTTTGAAACTCCGAGGCAGCAGCGTCGTTTTGTAGCTCAGGTCGCAGTGCAAACATCATCGGGCCTACAGTTTGCACCTCCTTTGAAACCAGCAAAGAGCCGTCAAACTGAAACAGGGAGAAACATAAGCAAACGAGAAACAATCAATTTGACGAGATACTTACATGAGCATTATACTTGTTGACAAACTCACGGATGTATTTGTCCCTCCATATTCTCGCAACTTGCTCCGACTTGAGCTTGGACTTGAGCTTCGTCATCTCAAGTTCCAGGTCTAGCCTCTCCTTCACTGAGACTTCTTCTGCTTCAAGTGACTTAGCCAGGTCTTTTATAAAACTATCAGCCCCAAGCCCGGTAAAAGGACTGCGATCATCGCCACACTTTGTTTCCGGAGCCTCATTTTCGTGTTCACGCATTTGTCTGCCTGCAATCTCCAGAAAAAGCTTCGACAAGGTTTGGCCGAGAGCTGAACACATGTCCATCTGTAGCTCAAGTCTAGACTTCGCTTCTTCCAGTCCCCGGAGCAGCTTCGAGTATCTAAGAGACTGGTTGTTGTTTTGTTTTGTGTCTTCGTCAATTAGTTTGCGAAGCTCTAAAGCACCCTTGACAGTTTCCGTGACTATTCCATGCAAGGATCTCGCAAAGTTTGCAGAAGAGTACCAAGACTGCATGAAGACGGGAGTCAGTCGACAAAGACGTAAATAGAAACAAAAAAACACAGCTTACACTCCAAAGTTGCCTTGTCAAAGACTTGAGGCTCAGAGCTGAGACGGCAGCTTGTTCTTGCACTTTCGTTAGCGAGTTCTTCATTGAGTTCATGCACTGCTCGCACTCCTCGGCTCTTTGACGGAGTTGAGGGACGAGTTTTGACGCCCGTTCCACCATTCCAGCAGTCTTTTCTTCAGCAATATGTTTGATGGTTTTAATCGGCTCCAGTAGCGTCTCGTCACCCTCACGGATGATGCCATGCAAAGCCTCCAGCAAGACTTCTAATGCCTTCCAGAACGCTCCGGTGTCGCTTGTTCCTTGACTGGGTATCTCCGGGGCTTCACTTGCGAGCAGCTTCTCAACAGATTCAATGCCGACAAAACAAACCGCGACAGTATCCTGAAATTCTCTGATGACCGTGCTGATCTGGTTCCTGTAGTTCTGTAGCTGTCGACCTGTCTCACTCTTAAACGTTTTCTCATGTTCTTCAGCCGCTTCTGCTTGTTGCTTCAGTGCCTCCAAGGTTTGTAACAGATGAGCTTGCGTTTTCGCATGAGCAGCCTTCTCTTCTGGAATAGAATAGTCACTGAGCATAATTCTGGACAAAAGGAAAGCTTTTCTCTTGTACCTTCGAGAGTATGCACGAAATGCTTTGTGAGGTCGTCTATGCTCCTACTGTGTCTGTCCATGTCGTTCATTCTGTCCGTCTTCAGAGCGGACAAGGAGCACATCGTCTGCCCGTGAGCTTTCTTTTCCTCTGGAATAGAAAAGAAAAAATAAAACTCGTAACAGAATCCTATGGTGAATATCCGGAGATCACCTTGTAGTTCAAACTTCAGCAAGCTCACGCTCGAAGTAGTTGACTGAAGATTCAGCTTCGCGCTCTCGGCTTCAGATCTAAGAGCCTGATTCGACAACACCATCTCCTGATAGGCTAGCTCCATAGAGCGTATATGTTCTGCTGTTTTCTTCATTTTGTCTTCTAGAGAGCGACGCAGGCTGATTTCTGAGTCCAATGCAAGTTTGGATGTCTCCAGCTTTCGCTCCAAAGCCTCGAAAGACTCCAAGGACAAGGCATTTTCATTTGGTTCTGTGACAGTTTGGACGTACTTCATCTGAAAACAGAACCAAATGAACTGTTAATTTTCTTTCCCAAGTGGACTCTTACTTCAAATTCTTGTTTGACAACATCCGTCCGCGCTTCCTCTGCGATTGACTGGCACGCCTTTTCCATTTTAATCAAGGTTGCCACTTTGATAACGTCCAGCATATCATCATGCTACAGAAAGGAAGCATGAGACATATCGAAGCACACAATTCTTACCAGATGCTTTGCGTCCAACAAATCGGCCTTCTCTTTGCTCTTTGCGTCAGATATAATCTTCAACGCATTTCCTCGTGCCGATTCTACAAGCTCCTTCAATTCTCGCGGCTCTGTACAAGCCTCAACGCCAGCATTTGTTCTTAGAAGATCGTCTAAAGCCGTCAGTGACAGCGTGCAGCTCTCCATTTCGTCCACAACATGGCCAGTCCTCTCTTTCATGAAAGAGTACGCTCCCTTTAAATCCTCCCGTTCCATATACAAACCTGATGTAGAAAAAGCAAAGCACTTACACGACTACTTCCGAAACATCACCCAAGGCGATACCTTACAGTTTTAAGTGTTGAGGCCGCGGGTTAGTGACTACACTGGTCACACACCTTCGATGACTGCTTTTAGGCTTTGAACTTCCCCTTTGTCTGCTGCAGCTGTCCTCTTTTCTAAGGTAGAACGGTAATTCTCGTTTTCTACAAGAAGTTGCTGGACTTTCTTCTGCAATGCTGCACAACATCACACTAGAGTTAGAAAACAAAATAAGAGATGGGAAAACGCTTAGCACCTTCTACTTCGGCGACAAGCTTGGCATTCATTGAGCTGCGAGTGAGAATCTCTTTTTCTTCGAGAAGTTCCTGCACTTGAAGGCGCAATGCTGGCAACAAGCAGCCCTCAGAAGTTAAAACACAATTCCACAAGAACAAACCGCTGCGTACCTGCACACCTTTTTGCTTCTTCGTGGTAGAGCTCATTCAAGGCATAGTTGTCCCTGTCTAGCTTCTCCATGCTTTCGTTGGCAGAATTAAGCAGCTTTGTCCGGGCATTGAGATCCTTCTCTGCCGTCGCTAGCATCGACGTGAGCTTCTCGTTAATCCCCTTGACTTTTTTGAGCTCCGCAGTGTTGAAGGCGGCATCCTCGAGCTCGTCGTTCGTCCTGCGAAGCTGTCTTTCGATGTCCGCCAGCCTTTTGGATGCCAGTTCGTTCTCTTCTCTAAGCCTGACCAGCTCTTTCAAATCGTCGGGACACTCCTCCTGGAGCCTCGTTAGCTCTTCCTCATGCCGGATCATCACCGCCTTGAGAGCATCGTTCGCGAGCTTCGTATCCTTGAGGCTCTTTTTGCAGCTTTCTATCTCCTGGTCGCGCTCACACACCGTTTCTCTCAGAGACTGGATCTCCTGCTGCTTCTCCAAAACATTTGCCTCGAGCTCGCGAATCTTCGCCTCGAAAGTTTCTTTCTCCTCCGTCCGTGCAAACTTCTCCGCGGAGGTTCTCTGGACGAGTTGCATGTAGCTTACTTCCAGCTTTGTCCTCGCACGATTGCTACTAGAGCCATTTCCCATATACTTGATAGGCTCCATCTCAAGCTTTGGAAGATAGCTCGTGAGAAGCTTGAATGCTGCCATGACCTTTTGAGCCGTCTCCTCGCCTAGATTCAACTCTGTGAGCACGCGAAACATCCCGATGGAATGGAAGTAGAGGCCGCGGTAGAGCAGATCCACCTGACGCGGCTCCAATCCATTGCTCTCAATCAGCTTCTTCCTGTCCAGCCCCGACCGCTTCAATCCACTCTGGAATCCCTGTGACTCACCGCCATTGACACCGTGAAAGCTTGCCGCCGCCGCCGCGAGGATCTTGACAAGCAGCCTGTCCAGCCACGCTTCCACCATCGCCGCCTGCTCCATCTCGATCTCCGCCCCGTCGACCCATGGCTCCCTGACGAGATCTGCCAGGAGATTACCGTCGGAATCCATGGCGAGATCGATGGATCGCTCCGCCCTCTCACATTCGCGAATCTCACCCAAACGAATCCCCTTGGGCGCCAATGCCAAACCCTACCACTGGAACGAATATTCACACGTCTCCGTACGAATGAGAGAATGTTCTTCCGTCCGCCTGCCGTACGTTATGAAGAACGAATATCCTTGGACCGAAAAGAGAATGTGCTTTCCGTACATTTTATTCCCTGTAATTTATTTGGACACGGTGCTTTGCAGGCAGGATTGACCACTTGGGCGGCAGAGGCAGCGCCAGGGCAATGAGGCGCGAGGCGATCGATCGAGGCTGGAATCGCCGCGACGAGATAGGGATCCCCCATTTCTCGCGGTAAGCGCAGATTAGGATCTTGCGAGCTACAGCGGAAGATCGGGCCTGGGGTTTTAGTCCGCCATGGGGAATCTTTGGATTGTCGCGATCAGCATCGCGCTGGGCATGGTAATCCTAGCTCCTGGCAGGGCGGGAGCGCAATGCGTTCCATCCAGGGGATGCACGGCAGTGGCCTTCTTTAATTTCACACAGAACGAGCAGCTCAACACAGTCTTCACCACTTTCAGCGTGAACTTCGCGCAGTTGCAGCAGTACAACGATCTTCGAAGCCAGGATTTCGTCCAAGCTGGGCAGTTTATCAAGATTCCCTTCCAGTGTGGCTGCATCAATGGGAGGCTCGCACATACCTTTGTTTTCAACAACGTGAGCCAGTCCGATTCGTTTGCATCGATCAACACCAGATACTATCACGAGCTCTCCAACGTGGCGTCCATGAGCGTGGATCCTTCGCTCAACGGACAGCTCTTTCCTGGACAACCAGTTAATGTGCTCGTGAATTGTTCTTGCGGGGATCCACGCTTTCCGGTGTTTGGGCTTTTCATGACGTATCCGGGTCAGAGAGGGGACCTGGTCCGAGATGTTGCTACGAGGTTTAACACGACTGTCCAGAACTTGACAAACTACAATCCTTCTCTTGGAAACATAAACTCCTTGTCTCCTGACGATCGCCTCTTCATCCCTGCTACTCTTGGTGAGCTTCTTTTCTTGTCTATTGTTTGCTGATATTGTTTTGTTTCTCAGCGAATGGAACATACCCGCCATTCAGGTAAGAAAAAACCTTTTCTGTGACAATTCTCTCAAAACGTATTTCCTTGTTAAACTCCCAGCGCTGGTAGCGATGGTAAGTGAATGACGCAGTTCGCTGTCGCTCCCTTGTATCTGATCTCCGTGGCGCTGCAGGTTCCGGGTCAAGCAACACAGGTCTGATTGCTGGAGTCGCTGTTGGAGTTGGAGTGGTCGTCCTTGCTGCGGCGGTATCACTGGTGTGGTTTTGCATGCGACGTTCGAAAAAGAAGAAAGTTGCCAAGTATCCCATGGACATGGAAGTGACTTCTGCCGACACCAAACATGGTTTGATGCAATCTACGTTTCTTCGAGTCTCTTACCGGTTTGTGAATGATGCAGGTCTCCTTCACAGTCCAAGCGTTGGGTCCGTTCCCGCTGGTTTGTCAGGCTTTGCCGTGGATAAATCAGTCGAGTTTACATACGACGAGCTTTCGGCAGCCACAGGCAACTTCAGTATTTCAAACAAAATTGGTGAAGGTGGATACGGTGCAGTGTACTATGGTGAAATTCGTGACCAGGTTTGCGGCTGTTTTTCTTTTAGTTCAGCTAACAAGTTTTTTTTATCCTCCAGAAACTCGCCATTAAAAAGATGAACATGCAAGCCACAAGAGAGTTCATGTCGGAGCTCAAAGTCTTGACTCATGTCCACCACACCAATCTGGTAAGAAATGGTTCTTTTTAAAGCATTGAGCTGTATTCGCCATTCTTTCCAGGTCCAACTCATTGGTTACTGTACAGTGGATTCTCTATTCCTGGTGTATGAATATGTTGATAATGGTACATTGTCTCATCATCTGCGTGGTTCAGGTATGCGAAGGTCATATTGGAATTCTTAATTCTCTTGAGAAACTTTCTACAGCGCCCTCAAGGCTTACCTGGAACCAAAGAATCCAGATAGCACTCGACGCTGCCAGAGGTCTCGAGTACATTCACGAGCATACTAAACCAACATATATCCATCGGGATGTGAAATCTCCCAACATTCTTATCGACAAGAGATTACGTGCGAAGGTAAATAATTCTTCGTTTGTTTCTCATTTTTCTTTGCTGATGATTGGCACCGGTGCAGGTAGCCGACTTTGGACTGACTAAACTTACAGAATCCGGCGCTGGAAGTGTCTCGTTAACACAGCCGACGAGGCTAGTTGGGACCTTTGGCTACATGCCTCCCGAGTAAGTCCGAGCCTTCTCTCAAATAGTGTAGCTATAAGCTGATCAATTTGTGTTGCAGATACGCTAGATTTGGTGATGTTTCTCCTAAGATCGACGTCTACTCTTTTGGAGTAGTTCTTTACGAGATCATCTCTGCAAAAGATGCTATCGTTCGTACGGTAGAGGGCGACGACTCAAACCCAGATCCCACACAAAGAGTTGCCAAGGGTCTAGTGATGATGGTACGCAATATATAGCTAATTGTTAAACTTGATAACTTTGCTGGTGCAGTTCGATACAGCTTTGAAAAGCCCCGACGCAACGGAGAACCTCAAAAAGCTTGTAGATCCAGCACTTGGCACAGATTATCCTTTCGACTCGATCTGGAAGGTAAACAAAAGTTGAGTGCTCAGAGGTCGCGACTTGTAACATTTTCTTGTGTGATCAGCTGGCAAAGCTGGCGGAAGCTTGCACACAGGAGACCCCAGAAAACAGGCCAAACATGCGAGCAGTGGTGGTAGCTCTCATGACGCTGTGTAGCACCACGCAAGAGCTCGACTTTAGCACCAGCAGCCAGTCCAACGCTCAACTGAGAGGCCTCGTCTCCGGGAGATAGCAGCAAAGGGAAAAAAAATATCCTCATACAAACTCTACTTGTAAATTTATGCGCTTTCTTTGTTCCAGGAATTTTATCATCTCTAGCGAGAGATCTTAGTCCGCAAATTTTGGAACTCTTGAGTTTAAAGCTTGAATGTGATCAAACAATGTGACACAGATAAGATATTGGGATCGCCCATTGGCCACTCTCATCCACTCACAGCCAATCCAAGCACAGGATTTCGTACGCTGTGGTCATTTCGTTTTGGGCCACCTTGTACGGAACCATATCCACTAAGCCAAACAAGCCCGCATTGTGGTGTGGGAGGAGGAACAAGAAGAGGAAGGAATGGCGGCCATGTCCTCCTCGCTGGGTCTCAGAGCCGCTAAATCAAAATTCACGGGCTCATTCGATGCGAGCGAAGCCGCGAGCGCGAGATTCAATCCCAATTCCCGCGTTGGATTCGCGCGAGCGAGTGTGAACCATGAGCAATCGCAGAGCAGGAGGGCGGCGATGGTCGGCCTGGTGGCGGTGGCGGCGGGCGTGCTGGCCGTGGAGGAATCGCGAGCGCTGACCGGGATCAAGATCAATGGGCCGCCTCCACCATCCGGAGGACTGCGTAAGCAAAGATCCATTCCTGCCCAATTTTCCCAATTCTCCGCAAGTGGATTGATCAATTCATTGCGCAGCTGGGACGGAGAATGCCGATCAGCCGCGCGACTTGGATCTGCCACTCAAGGAGAGATTTTTCATCCAGCCGCTATCGCCCGCCGAGGCAGTGGGGCGAATCAAGGACGCTTCCAAGGACATCGTGGGCGTCAAGGAGCTCATCGACAAGAAGAGCTGGCCTTACGTTCGCAACGATCTGCGCAACAAGGCCACGTACCTGAGGTATGATCTCAAGACCATCATGGATGCCAAGCCCAAGGCCGAGCGCAAGGCGCTCAAGAAGCTCACGGACAATCTCTTCGAGGTGATTGACAAGGTAAGAACTCCAAATTCACCTTCTCGAGCCGAAAAAATCCGATTTTTAACATCTTTTCTTGCTTGTTTCAGCTCGACTTCGCAGCTCGAGCCAAGAATCCCACCGACGCGGGCAAGTGCTACGCCGAAGCCGTGGCTGCCTTGGACACTGTTATTGCCAAAATCTCGGCTTAAATAAATCTCTTCCTCCCACCACTGTTGATAAGAAAGAAAAAAAATCCTGTCCATGGATGATCGAGTAAGAACTTAGCTGCGCACGTAACGAAGCGACATACCTCATCTCATCTCACACGAGGAGATTTACGAGTAGAAGCAACAGTAACAGGAATGGAGAGTGGAGGAGCGATTGTCGTGCGGCGTTTGGAAGTCCCGGGTATGAATCTGGAGCTGGAAGAACACACTCCTCGCCATTGAATAGCACCTTGTGTGGAAAAGCCCAGCCTTTGGAGAGTGAGAACAACGAGGGATCCTTTTGGAATAGCATCTCGGACTGGACCACTCCATTCTCTCCAGCTTCTAGTAGCATGTCGTTGTAGCTGCGAATTCCCCAGAACATATTGGTGTCATCTGCGAAACTAAGTGTGAGAAGCGAGAAGAACAAGCGATGGCTGCTTTACGTACCACCGTGGATTGGCAACCGAGTGCTGTTGAAGCTAAACACCTCCTTGAGCTGTTTGAAGTTGGGGTGCTGGACGACGAGGTTCCAGTGCGTGTAGTTCTGGAGGTGCCGGTTGAGAATGCTTACTTTGGAGCGCCAGTAGCCTTTGTAGTTGTTCTTGACGTGCCAGTGGATCTTGATCGGGCACATATCTTTGGAGCATTGGAACGGGGCCTGCTTGTGGAGATTCAAAGCCGTCGCTATGCCAGGAGTTTGGAATCCATCGTCAGTTCTGGAAAGTCACAGGAAAAAAGCTTAGAAGTAGTTTTCAAAATGAGGAACTCTTACGAGCTGATGTTGCACAAACGTTCTCCTGCCTTCGGTTTTTGCGTGCAGTCGCATGCACAGTCCTTGCAGGGAACGACGTCGGGATTGTAAAAGGATGAAAACGAAACGCAACAAGATGGTGTTCGACGTAGCTTGTAGGTGCAAGAAGACTGCCATGTCACTGGAACAAAGAAAAAAACTATTAGTAAGGGAGAGGATGGCAAAGAAAAACAGAAAGAAGGAAAGAAAACAAACTGTATGCTCGGCGTCCATGTTGTCCATCCGGTATCAAGCTGGAAGTAACATTCGTTGGCGTAGAACACGAGTATCCTGGGATGGAAAACGATAGAGGAACATCAGGTGGTCTTCTCGCAAGGCCAACTTTCATCACAAACGAAGCAATGGATGTCGAGGGATCCTGCACAGCAGACGATAACACTCCACCCCTGCAGCAATTCGCGGTCTGGAGAGTGCCAGGAGCTTCTGGCTGGAGATCTATCATCACCGGTCTCGGATGGCAGGAGTGAGGAGAGTTCTCTTCCTCGACTCGAGCACAGTCGCCTTGATCTATGGCTTGAGCGCCTTGGACTTCCCATATCACCTCCTCCTTGCTCCATTCCCAGCCGAAGCTCCATCCCGGACGAGCTTCGATGTGCCTGTAGAGCTGCTGGTTTTCGATCTTTACAGAAGCCTGATTGATCAAAGACAAAGTTAAGCTAAGCGCACAAACAATGAAGAAAGAACTACGAAGGAAAACTGTAACCACCAACGAAGAGAAATGCGAAGAACACATACCACATAGCCATCGCCCTGATACCAGTTCAAGATATCCCAAGTGACGACGATGCTCCCTCTCTGATCCAAAGGATCCACAGCACAATCTGCAAGAAATGCCGCCAAGATCAGCAGCGCAATGGCGCGCGGCACACGCATTTTGGAAGGAGGAGAACTTACCTCTGGACAATCCGCCCGGGCCTGTGTCGCCATCGCTTCCTCGCTCTTGCCAAAATCTAAAGAGCCCTAATTTGTCCTCAAGGAGTATTCGCGAATATGCTCAATTGTATTACATTAATAAGTTTAAAGTCCCCCAATTTTTAATTTCAAGTTTTCTTCAGTGCTACTTATGCACACTAGCATATCCCATAATATCTATTTTAGGGTTTGTTATAATGGATCGAGAGAGTTCACATTGAAGCAGGTTTGATGTCTAGAAACTATTTGGGATAGCCCAAATCTCTCCAGCAACGAATCAAAGACTTTCTCTTCGGTTCGAGGGAAGGCCCGTCCCACAACAAGGAGTTCCTGCATAGCATCCAAAAGAATAGATCTCCGCATTTTGCAGATGCCCACTTGAGGCAAATGCTAGAATTGTGAAGATGGCATGAGCATGTCAATGTCCTCTCAGTCTCAAAGATTCCCTGTTATCAAGGTCAAAATGGATTTCACCTCATAGATGACCATTCTCAGCACCATCGTACCAACATGTGTTTTGACTATTTGGTTCTTCCTGTACATAGGGCGGACGCACCATAAGCCGGCCATAACTGCACCAATGGCTGGCCACATTTGATCCATTACATATTTTAGTTTTCTTGGGATGAATTTGCAGCACAATACCCTGGTTGTTGAAAAGATGCCTGAACCCCATTGCAACCACTCAATTTAGCAAAGTAATAGATGCCCCGGGATTGAAGTATTGAAAGAAAGTTCTATACAAGAATATGATGAACCTCAAGAAATTGAAAGAGGTCGTGGATTGAGATGGCAATTTGTGCTTCAATATGTTCTTGAGATGAATTTTTCTAGATAAGTATTTCTAATCTAATAAAATGTCTCCTTTTATAAGATTTCTTTGAAGTTTTTCAGCTTAGCTTGAGAGAGCTTGTTGTTTGACAGAGGACGTATCTTAAATAAAAGCCATAGGATACGATTAGGGTTTTTCATTTTTTAGGCTGATGAAGAGAGCAAAAGTCTCAAACAACTTTTCTGGCCTTTGGAGGTGAGCTCTGACAATAGCGAGAAAGATTATAAGATTATAACCTAATCCAAACGAGAAATACTATACACAACTCATATGACACTGTGGATTGCCGTGAGGCTTGAGCATGCCAAAGAGCCTAAGCGTAGATGTGAACATCTCTCTATGATAATTTCAAAAAGAGAAAACAAGCAACTCCTTTCCAGGTTCAATTCTAATGTACTTGCATACTTTGAATAACGAAACTTTATTTTTCTCGATTTTCAAACCTCTTGAAGCTTAGCACTCATTGAATGGGAGTCATAGAGCTCATGGAGACACAAGCCATCAGCGTGCACAAACTACTTCCTCTTGCAGAAAAGTGGATAAAAGAAACACAGGCTAAATATCTATCCATTGGTATTTGTTCTTGGCCTTGCACTTTTGCTGGACTTCTTCTTCAAATTCGGCTGTTCTTGGGACCAACCTTCAAGTAGCAATCTCCACACAACAACCAAATAGACCAGCTTGAATCTCCCGGCTCTCAAGTAGTTTATGTGGTTCAAGGCATATGCGGAACTTTGAGAAGCCGAAAGGAGATTTGAACAGATGCCCGTCTTGGTAAAGCCTGATTTTGGCATTTGCCTTGAGAGGGCATCTGTTCCTTTTATGGTCGTGAGCGATCCTGTTACAGCCATCTTTAAAGCAGCTACGAGAAAGACATTTGATGCACAGAGAGTGGTGATTGTAGCTATCCGCAAATCATACTATGGTCAGTACTTCCCTTTGAGCTCCTGCTGAGCTTCCGATCTCAAATCTTACAGATGCCCACTCCGGCATATGCTTCTGCACATAGGCTTCCTGGACAGCCGGGAGCGTCCACTTGAGCATCCTCGAGATGGCACGCAGCTCTTGCTCATACATCTGCTGTTGCTGGATAGTGGAGCATTGATATGGTATCCATCAGGTACGAGAGCTTTCCAACCAGAATCGTGGTTTCCTCGTTGAAGAACGGCTGATACAAGTGGGACGCGTTGAAGTTCTTCACATTGAGCTTTCCTTGAGTCTCTTTTGGATCTTGTCCTGGAACACCTTGAGCAGCTTCAGCAAATGTAGACTTTCCCTTGATCATCGAGTCCTGGAAGTTCTCGCACTAAAGAAACGAGTGCCAAGGTGCCAAGTTCCAAGAGCATGGACTGATTCATAATCCGAGGAGAGGAATTCGTCATAAGGGTTGCTTTAGTTGAATCAAGCCCGCTTTTCATCGCAACTAGGGCTAGATCGGACGGCTTTTATTGATGGAAATAAATCAACGGCTAGATTCAAAAACAAAAAAACCAATTGGAATAGGGTTTAGGGTTCTTGGCTATGGCGGTGGACGAGACGAGAGGATGGGCAGCGGCGGCGCGCAAGGATGCCGCACCCCCGCCGCCAATGCCGGCGTTTGTGCCGCGAGCGAAATCGAGCGATGGTGTCAACACGGTTGTAGTGGATGCGAATGCGCTCATCCGGGGGATTTCCATCTCGGGGCTCAAGTACGAGCTTTGCACCGTCAAGGAAGTCGTGAGTGAGGTCCGGGATCCACGATCGCGAGCGCAGCTCAGCGCGCTTCCAGTGGAATTGGCGATCTTGGAGCCCTCTCCGGAATCTCTAGCCAAAGGTACGCTCGATTGTTTTGTATTTGTCTTAGTTTTTTTGTTTTTCCTGTGATAGTGGCCGAGTTTGCTCGAGCAACCGGTGATATACAGGCTCTATCCGCGATCGATCTCAAGGTTTTGGCTTTGGCTCACACTCTCGAAGCCCAGGTCCATGGTGGCGATTCTCACCTTAGAAATCGGCCGCCACCGCTCGTTCGGCGCGTAGCGAAGAAGAATCAAGAGCCCGAGCCGCCTGGCTGGGGATCAAACGTTCCAAATCTCGACGAGTGGGAGGAAATTGCCGGGGAACACGAGGATGAAGGAGACAAGAATGAGTCTCACATCCTTGGGCTCAAGGATCTCAGCTTGGGCGACGCTCAATGTCCATGTCCCGTGACAGATCAAGGAGAGGAGGATATCAAGGAATGCATGGATTGTTGCAGTGACGGCGAAGTAGCTGCCACGGATTTAAGTCCGGAGGAGGCTCGACTTCGTAGCATGCAGGAAGAAGATGGTGTTTTCCAAGATCAAGGAAAGGACGAATGCAACGATGGTAACAGCGACGATGAAATAAACGGCGAAGCCACCACGGATCTAAGCCAGGAGGAGGCTCGACTCCATACCATGCAACGACATGAAGCCAGTGAAAATGTCTCAGAGGATCAAGAAGAGCCCGAGGGAGAAGAAGCTCCGTCGGTGACGGATGGAACTGAAAGCGAGCAAAGCTGGTCGGTGCTTCGACCGCTCTCCATGTCGAGCATCGCCTGCATGACAACAGACTTCGCGATGCAAAATGTGATCTTGCAAATGGGACTGCGTTTACTCACTCCAAATGGGATTCAAGTTCGCGAGCTCCAAAGGTGCGTGCTTAGTTTTTTCTTCTTCTTCTCTCTGATGGATTCTTAACTTATGACCGAGTATATCGTATCACAGGTGGGTTCTCAGGTGCCATGCGTGCAACACCGTGACTAGAGACGTGGGCCGCCTCTTCTGTCCCAAGTGTGGGAATGGAGGAACTTTATCTCGTGCTTCGGTGAGCGTGGGACCAAACGGCACGGTGATAGGAGCGTCCAAGCGCAGGATAAACATTCGTGGCACGAGAGTAAGCTGGCCGAAACTCTTGTTTTGGTCACTTGTCTAACGTAACGCTTGCTCTGGTGTCTTTGCAGTACTCGCTGCCTCTGCCGAAGGGCGGCAGGGAAGGCGCTGCTCAAAATCCCATTTTGAGAGAGGATCAGTTGCCTCACAGGATCCTCCATCCCAAGAAATCGTCAAAAGCACCAGATGATGTAAGTCTCTAGCCAGATCGATCTGGTTTTGTCTTTCTGATAGCGGTGAGTGAACTAAACATCCTTGCTGGCTTTTTCTACAGGATCTGGACTACATCTCTTCCTTTGACGACGTGCTCCGGCCCAGAGGCAAAGAATCCTACCAAAGCTCCGCAGCATCAATGAGAAATCTGGCCTCCCAGTTCTCCGGACGAAGGAATCCAAACGATTCGCACTACTCGAAGCAGCGACGTCGATGAAAAGAGAAAGAAGAAGAAGAGATGAAAAAAAAAAAATTTCTCCTTTCTTTGTCGAGGTTTGGTCGTTTGTATCAGACCGTTAAGATTTCTGTTAACGCCAACGGTCTTGACAGGTGGACGGTAGAGATCTCGCCGCGTGGGCGGCGGAGCTCGTTGGAAATGTGACTAGGCAGTGAAGGAAGGGAGCGTTCTTTTTAGGGTTCTTCCTTGGTGGCCACGCAATCCACGCGAGCGCGATGGCGGGCGACGCCATCTCGCTCTAGCATCCAGGGGGGTCCATCTTTTGGATCCAATGTCGAGGAAGCAGCGGGATCCAGAGTCGCGGCAGAAAGACAGTGGCAGCTACTGCTGGAATTGGAAGAAGTGCAGCGCAGTCGCCTCTCCAGCTCTCGCCATCGCATTCGCCTGCTCCCTCGTCTATCTCCTCGTCCTGATCTTCGCAAGAAAGCCCTCTTGCCTCGTACATTCTTCCCGTTCCTCTTCTTTCTCCTCCATCGCTTCTTCCACTTCCTCCTCTTTGCCCTCTGCCAAGACCAAGCCCACTACTTTCTCCTTCGTGGACGTGGAGACCAGGCCAATCGAGGACGACGACGACGACGATAGCAGCGATCCAGCGGGCAAAATGGCGAGCTTGGGAAACATCGTGTTTGGGATCGCCGCCACTGCCCGGCTATGGGATCGGCGTAAATCCTACGTCAAGCTCTGGTGGCGGCCCAACGAGATGCGCGGATTCGTGTGGTTGGACGAGGCGATCCAGAACTACTCGAGCGGCGCCCTCCCGCCTTCCAGGATCTCGGGCAGCACTGCGGGGTTTCGCTACACGCGCCGCGGCGGGCGGCGGGCAGCCATCCGGATATCGCGCATCGTGTCGGAGACATTCCGTGTCGGGTTGCCGGATGTCCACTGGTTCGTCATGGGCGATGATGACACGATCTTTGTCCCGGACAACCTGGTCAGGGTGCTGGCCAAGTATGATCATCGCAAGCTCTACTACATTGGCGCCAGCTCCGAGAGCCACCACCAGAATCTCATGTTCTCCTACGGCATGGCGTATGGCGGCGGGGGATTTGCTATAAGCTATGCTCTCGCCAGCGCTCTCGAGCAGCGCCACGACGAGTGCCTGGAGCGGTATCCTTTTCTCTACGGCAGCGACGATCGCATCCACGCTTGTATGTCGGAGCTCGGCGTTCCCCTGACGAAGGAGCTCGGCTTCCACCAGGTAAAAATCCGATTTTTAGTTCAAGGATCTTGTTTTGATCTCCTCCTCTTGCAGCTGGATGTCCATGGCGATGTCTCGGGACTGCTCTCGGCTCATCCGATCGCTCCCTTCATAAGCATGCATCACCTGGACGTCATCCATCCCATTTTTCCAGGCGTGGGCCAGGCAGCGGCGCTTCGCCATCTCTCCAAGGCGGTCGACATCGACCCGGCCGGGATCTTCCAGCAGTCGATATGCTACGACCGCCAGCGCTCCTGGTCGATCTCGGTCTCGTTTGGCTACATGGTGAAAGTGATCCGAGGCGGCCTCAAAGCTCCCAGGGACTTGGAGACCCCGACCCGGACGTTCATGAGCTGGAACCGGAGATTCGACGAGGACGGCTATTCTTTTACGAGCAGGCCTCCTCCAAAGTCGCCCTGTGACGTTCCCCTCGTCTTCCACATGAAGGAGGTGGCGTACGCGAGCCGAGATGGGATGAGCGTGAGTAACTACACTCGGACCAGGACGAAGAAGCAGGGCGGTGACTGCCCTTCCAAGTCGGCCGAGGAACTGCGGTGGATTCAAGTCCTCAAGGAGCGCACCAAGGATTCCTGGTTTGTGGTAATTGAAGTTTGTGCTCTCCCACTTTCTATCTCTTTCTCACGGAAAGCGTTTTCGTGTATAGGCTCCGAGAAGACAGTGTTGCCAGATCATGAGTGTCGCCTCGCACAGCATGCGCCTACTGGTAAGAGACTGTAGAGACGGAGAACTCATCCTTTGACAAGTTCAAGATCTTTCGAAGCTCTGGCTGCTCTCACTGTTCGAGGATGTGACCACGTCGGCCGCTGCTCAACGACACCATAGATACGTTTCCTGTCTGGAAAGCCCAGCGATCGTGGTTCGTTGCGAGAAGCTCGAATCAGGGGAGGAAACGTAGCGAACCTCTCGCGAGAGCAGCCAGACGCTATTTCTTTTGGACGAGCCTCCATATCATTTCCCACATTCGCCTCCACACGAGGGTTAACTTCGGAGAAAAGACTGATAACTTTCGAATTCAAGGATCTTAACATCTAGACCTCACAAAATGGAAGTTTTTTATAATTAATTTATTTACTTTTTATTAATATAATACTTCTTAATCATCTCAGAATATTCTGGGCATGATATTAAAAAATCAAATTAACTACTTACTAATGTAATCTTAGATTAAACTGATATACAGGAAACTCTTCTCTCGAGCACACGAGCGGCCCTGTCCAAATTCACACAGCTTCTCTATCGGCTTGACAAAGGCTGGATCCGGTCTCGCTGACTCCACCGCCCGAGTAACTTGGAACATCACCATGAACGCGTGCTCGATCTGTCCAGCGCTGCAAAGCCCCTGGATCAAAACGCTGTCGGTCGAGTCCGGAAGGCTGCCCTCGGCGATCATCTCCTCGAGGACCCTCTCCGCCTCGTCCATCCTGCCGAGCTTGCAAAACCCCTCCACAAGGCTGTTGTAAGTCGCAGTGTTTGCTCGGCACCCCTCCTCCGCCATCACCGTGAGAAATCTGGAAGCTAGATCCATCTCACCGGTTTTGCAAAGTCCGCGACGTAGGCATTGCACACCAGGAGATTGGGAGTGTAGCCACATACCACCAGCTGCTCCAGGAACGCTCGAGCTTCCACCATTCTCCCCATCTCCGCAAACTTCTGGACCATGATGCTGTAAGTCACGAAGTTTGGCTTGCACTTGCTGCGCGCCAACGTTTCCAGGAGCTTGGCGGCGCTGTCCATCTGATCGGTGTTGCAGAACAGCTCCAGCAGCGCGTTGAAGGTGACGATGGTCGGGCAGAATCCCATCTCCGATGCCGAGCGCTTCCTCGGGCCGTGCCGCCTTGCAGAAAGCGTGGAGGATCAAGTTGAGCGTCAGACTGTTGGGCTCGATGTTCCTGAGAAGCATTGTCTCCATCACCTTGTATGCCTCATCCTGCCTCCCGGATTTGCAGAGAAACTCCACCACCGGATTGAAAGTCACAGCCGTCAGACCGTCAGAGCAAAACCAGCGCTTTCCATCACTCCCATGAGCTCGAGAGCCTCCTCGAGCAGGCCAGCTTTGCCAAGGCCCGTGGCCATCGCGTTGTAAGTCACCCGGTATGGAGCCACGCCTCGCTTGGCCATGGCCTGGAGCTCTTCACGGGCCTCCTGGATCCTCCCGGAGCTACACAGCACATCGATGAGCGTGTTGTAGGAGACGCCGTTGGGATTGCAATCCGTCTCTTGGCCTCGTCCACAAGCCCAGCCTCAGAGAAACCTGAGGTTGTGGAGAACGACCAAGCTCCCGGGGCTCGGAAGCCTCGATTCCAGAAGCTTGCAAATCTCTGTCACCGATTCTTCGTCCACTCCCGCGATGTCGACTGGAGGATCGAGCTCGTCAGGCTGCCTCTTCCTCCTGTATCGAGATTTCTTACCTGGCCCCTGGCATGAAAATATTTGCTCCGTGGCAGCAGTGGCACTGGCATTCTTCCGGAAGCTCACATTTTGCTGGACGGCCTGCGCGCTGCAAGAAATCGGAGCCAAAGATGTCGAGGATGAGCTCGCGATCGCCACCGGAATGGCGCCGGCTAGCAGCGCCATGGCACATTCCTCCCTGGCTAGGGTTTTTGGGATCGCATGGCGGCCTTTGTCTGTTCTTCCCCAATCCTGCTCTACAATCCTCCCACGATTCGTCCACACCAGCGATCCAGCATCGTCACGAGAACCCTACGAACCGATGGCGGCAGTAGCAGCAACGGATTCAGCGAGGATCCAGTGAGCGGCAATAATCCCATCTCCACTCGACTGGAAGCGAGAAGGATCGATCTGCTGGAGCGATTCCGGGATTTGCCGCTCAAAGTGTTCTTGCTGCTGCTGGGATTCTACTCGGCCAACGCCCTGGCGACGGTGCTGGGGCAAACAGGGGACTGGGACGTGCTGGTGGCCGCGATCATCGTGGCTGTGATCGAAGGCATTGGATTTCTCATGCATAGGATGCCGCCCGTGACGGAGAAGCTGCGATTCCTGGTGAGAATGCTCAATTACTGGAAAGCTGGCCTCTCCTTTGGCCTCTTCGTCAAGAAGAGAAAAAACAGAACGAAACAGAGGAAGTTTTTTGGAAGCTAGAACCCTAAAAACAGAGGGGTACTTCCTGGAATTCGAACCGGTGACCTTTGTGCTAGAGCTTATATTAATAGCAATAGTAACGTGATAGTATTTCGATTGCGATGAAGAAGAAAGAGGTGATATTTTCTGGGATGATCGTTCTCGTTGTTCTAGCGTATGGAGTTCTTCTTTTGTACGCTGTGACCGTCCGTCTCACCCACTACGTGAATTTCAACTCAAGAGCACGATCGCATACGATCAAACAAGACGTTTGGAGCTACCAATCTCACGAACATGTGTTTGGGATCAGCTCCAACGCCGCGATGTGGGATTCGCGCAAAGAACCCGTCAAGGCATGATGGAGGCCGGAGGATCGAATGAGAGGCTTCGTTTGGCTGGACGAAACAGTGAATTTTACTCTACCGGACCAGGACAAGTCAAAGTTTCCAGTGACACCTCCAAGTTTCGATACACGTACGGATCGAATGGAAGGCACCACATCCGAATAGCGAGGATTGTCTCGGAGATGTTTCGTCTAGGGCTGGAAGATGTTCGCTGGTTCGTCATGGGCGACGATGACACGGTGTTTGTCCCCGGAAACTTTGCCAAAGTTCTCGCAAAGTACGACCATGGTATCTCTCCAGGCAATCGTCCAAGACCTTGTCAAGCTCCTCGGCGAGCGCGTAGCCTATCGCAAATCCGGCGCCACCGTACGCCATGTTTGTCGAGAATCCATCCACATTTTGGAAGTAATGTAGTACGGCTGCCGGTGGATTGTATAGCGCGGACGCTCGGATCCACGCCTGTGTGGCGGAATTGGGCGTGCCGCTCACGGTGGAGCGTGGATTCCACCAGTTTGTCGTGCTGGACGACGCCTCTGGATTGCTCTCCTCGCACCCTTTGACGCCGCTCGTCTCGCTCCACCACATCGAGCTCCTGGATCCATTCTTCCCAAGGATGGGGAGGATCGAGAGCGTCAAGCATCTGATCGGGAGAGCGCAGGTGGATCCCATGGGCTTGCTCCAGCAATCCTTCTGCTACGATCCCGATCGGGACTGGACGATCAAAGTGTCTTGGGGATTCGTCGTCCAGATCCACCAGGGAGATGTTCCAGAGAAGGATTTGGAGCTTCCAGTGAGAACAATCTCTGGGTACATTCTCTGGGTGGCAACCGTGATCGCGTGGGAATCGCCGTCACGACGAGAGAGAACCCGGTGGACCTCGGCCGGTCAACTTTTATTTGACCCGGTCAACGAGGCTGGAAGGCGGGGAGTCAAGCATGGAAGAGAGGACACGGTGGAAGTGTTTACGCTCGGAGAAGGATTCATCCGTAGTGAAAACTATACGCGTGGTGAAGGATGTAACTCTAACTTACTTTTTAATCCCGAGTAAAGTTTAGTTTAGTTTAGGCACCTAGGCACAAGCACGGGGCAACAACGAGAGAATTGATATTTTAGGGTTTTGAGGAGGTTCTATCTTGATAGTGAAGTTTCGCGCGATTGATCGCTGGTAGGGAGGATAAGAGCACAATCTATAGGGATTTATAGGCGATGGATCGCGGTCTAGAGCCGCGATTGGTGTTCTTGGGGTTTTGGAGTGATTCGAAGCCGCATTTTGCCGATCGGCACGATATTTCGAGATGGATCGCGATACAGAATCTCCGTTTTTGTTGCTTTGTCCTGGAAAATAGGAAAGCTCGTTTTGGAAACTCCACAAGTAAGTTTCGAACTCTTGCGTAGAGTGTTTTTGCTTGTTTGCTTGCGAGAGAGTTTCTTTTCTTCTCATCTCCTAAAGTAGCGCGGCAAAGAGCCCTTTTAAAAGTAGCACATTTCTCTTCGGGCCTCTCTTCCTTGTAGAATGGTTTCCAACAAATCTTTGTCTTTCTGGGTAGAATGTTTCGTGCATCATGGCTGCCAGGCATTTGTTCTTTGCAACGATAATTCTTCTTGGGAACTAACTTCTCTTCACAGAAGCTCTTCTACCGTGGCTATTTCTGCGATCGTCATCTTAGGAGCTGCAGCAGCAGCAGCAGCACGACCAAAGTGGAGAATATGATGTTTGGGATCGGAGCAGGGTCACAGACCTGGGATCGCAGGAAGAACTACGTGAGGCTTTGGTGGCGGCCGAATCAAACGTGGTCTCGCTGGACAGCGCTGTGCGAGACATGCACGATGGATCGCTACCTCCGCTCCAAGTCGTCGACAACAACGAGCTTTTGAGAAACTTCACCTTGACGGGCCAGCAGATGAAGGACCAGATTAGAGTCTCGAGGCTTCCTTCGGAGTTGTTCCGGCTCAAGTTTTTCGGGGTACGACGACACCTTCTTCGTCGTGGACAATCTCGCCCGAGTTCTCTCCAAGTACGATCACAGTTCTACTACATCGGTGCTTTTTCGGAGAGCCACTACCAGAGTGTAACAGGGTTCTCGACAAACATGGCTTTCGGGGGTGCTGGGATTGCACTGAGCTACTCACTTGTGAAAGCGCTCGAGAAAATGCAGGACGACTGCATTAGGAGGAACTATCACGTATGGGGTGTCGACGGCAAGCTACAAGCTTGCATGGCAGAACTTGGCGTGCCACTGACGTTGGACAGAAGATTTCATCAGGTAAATGGCTGGCTGCTCGAGCTCCTTTTCAAACCTTTCGTGCTCTAGCAGATGGACATTCGTGGAGATGCTATCGGGTTGCTCGACTCTCACCCGACTACTCCGTTGGTTTCATTGCACCACTTGGATACGGTCGATCCTATTTTTCCAGGAATGAATCGGATTCAAGCGTTGGCTCAGCTTTCGCTTGCCATTCGGGCTTGCCGTCTTACATCAGTCTTTTTGCTACAACGATGTCGACAACTGGACGCTGAAAGTGTATTGGGGATTCGTCGTGCAAGTCAACCAGAGAGCTGGAGTATCCGTCCAGAACTTTTGTGGAGTGGTTTGGCTGTACTGCAGGTTCTTGCCTTAACTTGAAGACAAGAGAGATCGATCGCAGCGATCCCTGCTTGAGCACCGTTTCATTCTTTATGCTCAACGTGAGCCAGGATGGTCTAGACAGCAACTATTTCAAGAGAACAGGCACAGGCAGCTGCGAAGATAGAGATCCTTTGTCGCGCCTCGAGATAATTCGTGTAAGAAACCAGTACCGATTAAGTGCACTTTTCCCGTGTTTCTGTTTACTTATTTGTCTTTTACTTAGGCCTTAAGAAGACAATGCTGCAGTATTCGCAGCAAAATGAACATGAGTTAGAGATCAAGGATTGTTGAAACGTTTTTTATTCCCTAACATGCTACCTTTCATGGTCACTTGCTTACGAAATGTCACTCTGCTGTGCAGGTGACGTAGTGGTATGTGATTCACACTAATCAGTGTGATCATGTCGACAACGTGTGACTCTACTCTTACGGTAACTTCGAGTGAGTCGTTTTGTGGCTCCATGGATGTAACAAAGCTGTTCTCTTGTGCAGTTGGAATTACAGCTCTTGTAAGCTGCTACACGATTATTACTCAGCATTCACAGTCACTTCTTCCAAGGAGTTTAGAGACTGGCAGCTTAGATGGCGTGACAAGTTTGGAAAACATCGTGTTTGGAATAGGAGCCAGCTCTCGTACTTGAGAACACAGGAAAAGATACATAAAGCTTTGGTGGAGAACAAACGAGCCGCGAGGTATTTTTTCACTTGACAGACGGGTACCTAACTCCTGTCAGAGTTTCCGACAACCCGAAGCTATCAGCAATGTTTAGAACCAGGGGGAAGCACATGAAGGATCACATTAGGATTACAAGGCTTCCGTCGGAGCTGTTCCGGTTGAACTTCTCTCGGGTGCATTGGTTCGTTCTCTCCGTCGACGCTTCTCTGAGAGTCATCACCAGAGTGTGCTGGGCTTCTCAACCAGCATGGCGTTCGGGGGAGCAGGAACTGCAATGAGTTACGCGCTGGTGGAAGCACTAGAGAAAATCCAGGACGATTGCATCAGAAGGAGCTATCATGTCTGGGGTGTCGATGGGAAGCTGCAAGCTTGCATGGCAGAGCTCGGTGTGCCATTGACAATTGAGAAAGGATTCCATCAGATAAGAGATCCGCCTCATTCCTAATTATCAGTTCACTCATTTATCCTTTCTCCTAGACGGACTTGCACGGAGATGTTATAAGTTTCTTGGCTTCACATCCCCACTCTCCGCTGGTTAGTCTGCATCACATGGACGGATTCAATCCAATATTTCCCGGGATGAGTCGAATGGAGGCGCTGGACCATCTCTCCACTGCAATCCAGTCGAATCCATCAGCTGTTCTTCAACAGTCGTTCTGCTACAACCAGGAGTTTCGCTGGAGCCTCAAAGTCGCGTGGGGTACGTTGTCCAAGTGAGCAGGGGCTTCATTTCTCCTAGAGACTTGGAGCAACTTTCGCTGACTGGCTGGGGTGCCGCTATCGTCCTTGCTTCAACTTTGGGACCAGGAATCCTTCTGGCGATCCTTGTGGACGTAGCATACGGTTTTTCATGGTTAACGGATACCTCAGAGGAAACAGTTCAAGCAAGTGTCCTCTAGCAAAGCTCGAGACGATACATATATGAACCTGAAACAGACACAGATCCGGGTAAGCCAGTGTGCCAACTTTGGTAACTGACTTTGTTTTGTGGCCATGCTCTTTGGGCTCCAAGGCAGCAATGTTGCAACATTCTAAATCCACACGAGCAGATAAAACATCATTTGGAAATAAAAGATTGTTAGCTCGATGTATCAAATTGTTTTTGAGATCATTGTTGTAGCTTCATTTTGTTTTGCAGCTTCAGGTCGCAGTCTCTCTCACTGCTATTGCTTGCCTCACCAACGATGCTTCCCAACTCCTCCAGTTTGGTATTCTTTCAGCAAGGACATAGGTGGTCAACTGATCCAAGCAAGGTAAAGAGTCCTCTTTAACATTCTGATTCATTGGAAACACACACTTCTTTTCTCCTTTCTCTTCCAGGCCAGCTTGACGAAGAAGCCTGCAAAGTTGCCAAATGAAGTGGACCGATGCGCCATAGAGGTTGGACCAAGTTGGCGCTTCTCAGCATCCTTAGTGGGA